ATTCAACCACTAGATGTCCTGAAAACAACAAATCCTACACACTGTGTCTTTAAACTGATGTCTGGAAATCATCGGGGGACCCTCACTTGATGTTTTTGACCCACAAAAGGGTCCCGACCCCAACTTTGGGAACCACTAGGCAGTACACACTGGTCTGATCTCACTACCTACATGACCAGGACGATGGCTCCAATTGGGATGAAAGTAGCCCACGAGCCAGCAGTTTGATCACCTATAAAGTGGAGGTTTGTGCAACATGCAGGACGCGGTTGCASGTGTGTACTCACCATTGAGCCCATTGGGGATGCTCCTGTGGTGGTGCGGCGCTGACAGGTCATCCATGGACCTCCTCATGGTGGTCGGACCCATCTTACTGGTCTCTGGGGGCTTACTGTGGATGTGGTTGTGATTGTGGTGATCGGGGCTGCCGGCGCTGCCCGTGCTGGACGTGCTGCTCCCGTCCCCCACATCCCGGACCGTCCCGGTGCCTCCGTTCAGGTTGGTCAAGCTGGACTGGCTGTCTATGGAGCTCCTGGAGCCGGCGCCGTTCCTCTCCTCGTCCAGCATGAGGATGATCTCCTTCAGCTCCGTGTTCTCCCTCAGCACGCTCTCCTGGTTGGCCTCCAGCTCCTTCAGCTTCATCACGTAGGTGCCCACCTCCTTCCACATGGCGCTGGCGGTGTGGCGGCCGAAGCGCTGCCACTCCCGGGACAGCTTCTTGCCCTTCTGCCGGTCGTCGTCCAGGAAGCAGCAGAGCTCGCGGAGCTCGTGGTTGTCGTCCTGCAGCTTCTGGTTGATCTCCTTCAGGTTCCGGATCTCGTGGAGGTGCACCTGCAGCCGCCTGTTGATGTCTTTCATCATGTTGCCGTGCTCGATCATGAGGGTCATCTTCTCGCCGTCGACCCTCCGGAGCCTCCGCAGCAGCTCCTCCTTGGTGCACCGCAGCAGCTCCTCGTCCGTCAGCTGGCTCAGGTCATCCTTCGGCCCCTCGGACGGGTTTTTAGCCATGACTCAGTTCGTCAATACTGTCGCTTGGAATCAAATATTTAAATATAAAGCTTATTTAACCTAACCTAAGCTGCGGAGCTGTGTTAAAAACGAACACATTGTCCAAAAAAATAAAATAAAAATGTGAAGAAATGATCAGATTTTCAACAGAAAAACATTTGATGTTGGGAACTTCAATGCTCCCCACTAATCTGGCGCAAGAAGAGCTCGGAACCAACAGTTGGTACTTACATTATCGATTCACAACACTTCAAACAGGTCCTATTCTAGTCCCAGGCGACGAGTCCGGTCAGAAAACACCGCAGCTAAGACACCATCTCCGCTGGACACCACCATACAAATAATGGGGTAAAAAAAAATAAACCTAGTTTTTTTTTTCTGTAAACACAAATTTAGTGTTCGAGCAGAAAAATACAATACAAACTCCGGGTTTGATCCCACTTTCCAGCCGTATTTTTTTTTTTTTTTCGGAAGCTCTTCAAAGAGATGGTGCGTTCGCGTTCCTGGACTCAGTTTTGTCCACCCTTGGATTCACCAGCGGACTCCCCCCTTCGTCCCTCCTCCTCCCAGTTCTTCTTGTCCAAAGACTCGGGTTTGAAACCATTCAAGAGGATTTGTCTGAATGAGGGCCAATCCAGGCGGAGGAGAGGAGCGAGCAGCAGGTAGATGAAAAAGTGCGCTGGAGAAGTGCAGCTCCGCCCTCTTAAAGCGACAGTACGACGCGTTCAGGGTCGCACAGAAAAACATGGGAAAACAAAAAGAAAAAAAAATTGTATAGGTCA